GGGGGGGGGGGGGGGGTCCAACTAACACATCTAAGGAATGTCCGTGCGCCACAAAGGAAGCAGGTTTTGGCCGTTTTCCGCCATGCTTTCTCTGTAAGCCCTGAGCCGAGGCAGAGAACGATGGCATGCGGAAGACTCTCATGTTCTTAGCAGTATAAACAGTGCTGCTGCTGCTGCTGCTGCTGCTGCTGCTGCTGCTGCTGCTGAGGGAGCGGCGGCTACACGTATTGTCTACAGACATTCTTAGGTGCCGCGGAGATTTCCCCGACAAACTAGATCCCGGACACTTTCAACAGCAGCTTACCTGTTGGTTTACATCAAGCAATTACTCTTGGCAATCAGAAAATATTCAGAAAATATATGCATGCAACCCTGCATTCTCCACACCTGTCATCGTAGCTGGTCCAACCCCCCCCCCCCCCCCCCCAGTTGTTACTTTCGTTTGCGTTACAGTACCTTTGGCAACGAACGTTCTGGCAGACGGTCAAGGGCTCCTCCGCTGCAGGCTGCGCGCCCTGGTCTTGCGCGGCCTTTAAGTGGGAGCGGCTGCAGAACGCAGACTCCTGTCAGACAGATGCACACACAGCAGACGGGACAGAGCACGTCAACACTAGCAGCCAGCCGAAAGCGAACGTGAGGAGGCGAAAACGATGCCCCAAATCGCCTGTGACAACAACGAACCGGTTTGAGGTGAGGCACCACCGACACATGCGCAAAATGAGTGTGTTTTGTTCCGGGGACACCTATGCGCCCGTTCTCTGAACTGTCAATACAGCACTGCCCACTTCCCCATTGCCCCGGCGGGCCGACCACGCTCTACATTCCGTGGCATTTTTACAACGCAGGAGTGTCAAGGTGCCTCTTGGGAACAAAGGGTCACCGAAACGACGACCTCACCTTGTCGCTGCTATCGGTGATCTCTCGCAATACATTTTATAGTCCCATCCAGGTATACCAGACTGGTTGATGCTAAGGAACGAAAGACGCGCGCGCGTGCACACGGTCTGCTCAATCGTCGGCAAACACATACATGCGTGAATCAGTGTCCACGATACACGTACACAGGAAAGACCCCCCAACACCGGGATGGACCACTGGATGCAGGGACAAAGCATAAGGGCAAATTCAGGACCGGGGACATAGGCCTTGGAGAACGTCGGCGAAGACATGAGGGCGGTAGACGACGAAGACGACAAGCTCAAACGTGACTGCGGCTTCGAATGGGAAGACCATGTTCATGCAGTCGCGGAATGTCAGTGGTACAAGAAGGAGAGGGACGTGTACGTGACTGAGCTGGGACAAATAGATGGGACGTACAGGGAGATGCTTGAGGCATGAAATAGAGAGGAAAGGACGGTAGCGGTACTGGGTAGTAGAAAGTGGTTTGAAAAGGCGGGAAGGGATATCGGTACGATAGACAGACTAGGGAAGGCATTTTTGAGTCACCTTTGGCAAAGTAGAAAGGAACGATTGGCCATCGGTGATCGGTCCTGTGGGAACAATGCTCCGTCCTCTCGAGGACGCGTGGTCAATGATCTAACCGCTAAGGCATG